TGAAAAGATTCGAAGCTCTGTTCCACCAGAAGACGACAGCGGATTCCTCTTGTCCATTGGCTTTACTGGAACATTCATGCTGACGCTGTCTCCGAAATAATCTTCTTCGATTCCGCTGAAAAGGTGCTAAGCTTTCGTCCGTCATGTGATGAACATCATCAGAGCAACGTATCATCATCACATTCAAAACGAGTTTTCTTGACTCGCTAGCTTGAATTTGGTTGTGATGATGATACCTCGCTCTGATGATGTTCATCACATGACGGACGAAAGCTTAGCACCTTTTCAGCGGAATCGAAGGAGATTACTTCGGAAACAGCGTCAGCATGAATGTTCCAATAAAGCCAATCGACAGCTGGTCAAAAGCAATCCGCAGTCGTCTTCTGGTGGACTCAACCTTCGAATCTTTTCACCCAACACTTTCACTCGAAATGGAAGTAAGCTCAACAATTATGTAACAAGGGATTCCTTAAAAGACAACTTTTCTTCGTATTAATTATATTAGCCATCGGCAACATGGAAACTTCATGTCTACTCACGTGATTGCGAGAAATTTAAATACGATCTTAAGCGAAATTGGGGGAATACAGCTCATTAATGTGATCTACTCGTAGCCGCGAAAGCTTACTAATAAACAAAAAATAGGTAATGTAATCGAGTATCATAGAAAATATAACTCCAACAAAGAATGTGATATGGGAAAATGCCTGCTATTCATAGAAGTTTCCATTTCTCCTGTGACCCAAGGGCACACGTGGCAGCGAGATTAAGAGCTGCACCGTCATAGTTCGAGTCCTGTTGTGGGTGTTGATAAGAGCCAGGCCTGGTTGAAATACTTTTTAGGAAAGCACGGATGTGTGAATTTCATGGAAACGTAAGGTTTGGGAGTATGATTGTTGAAAGCGACAACTTGCGATTGGCACATCAGATCGATCCAATCTACTGATACCCTCGAAAACCTCGAAAGTCTCGAAGGCCTATTTGTAAATAAAAATGAGTAATATCGTTGATTGCTATAGCAAATACAAATTTACTTATTGAAAATCCCACTCAAGAATGTGATATGGTAAAACGTCTGTCCTGCGACGCAACGTAGTGGCTGGCGTGTCGAGACTAAGCGTTGCATAGTCATGGTTCGAGTCTCGCTGGGGGTGCTGTGAAAGCAAGGCTATGTCAACTTGAATGGAAAATTTTGGTCTTTTCGCATGATTGTGGGAAACTTCATCACTTTCAACGAAATACAATTACACATCGCATGTAGCTTTAATTTGATTTGAAGGAGAAACATGCAAGGGATTCGTCATTTGGCCTTGCATTTTTCTTCTTCAAACGAACTTAAAGCTATATGGGATGTGCCATTTTATTTTGTAGGAAATGATGAAGTACCGCTAGTTCAAGTTTCCCACAAACATGCCAATAGACCTTATGTTTCCGTGGCCAGTTTGGCCAATCCGAGCCTGAATGTGCAGCCGAGGTGGATGACTATCCATCCACAGACAGGTTTTGGTGTATGCTTGTCGAAAGGGTCAATTTGCGATGGACACATCAGATCTGAAACCAACCTAAAAGCGATCTACAACATGAGCAGGTCTAAATGTGACGTACCAAACAAGGCCGGGTTGTGAACTGGTCGAGATGGTCGTCTAAAGAGGATGTGCTTTTTCTATTTGGTACCAGAACGCAGTTTGGTGCTGGAACTGCAACGAATCAAGCGGTACGCGGTTGCCGGCAGCAACGTCGCCGAGACGGGCCGAGGCGGTCTGCATGGCAAAGCGTCTGGCGGCCCGACGAGCGGGCAGTCGGGCAAGCAGCCCATCGGTCATTTGGAAGAGCACATTCGCGGCCTCGAGGAGGACCGTGACTATTGGCGAAATCAGGTGGAGCTGCTCACGCAGATGCTCTCCAGTCATGGCTCGGCGGGTCCGACTGGCGCGGTACCATCAGCCTCCGGGACGGGGCATCACGCCGCCTCGGGCGGACCTGCTTCACGGCCCGGCAGCGCCAACGACCAGGCCAGCAGGTCGCGCAGCCCAGCGGCCCGACTGAAGACGAAGCCGCCAGCACAGCCGACACGCGATGTCAAAGTGAGTGAGGTTGTCCGAGGCCAGTAGAAGACAGGAAATAAAGTGGAAATTACGCTTCACTGAGATAATGAATTTTCCTGGTGATGTGCATTTCTTGTCGAAGGACAAGATGAAAAGATTCGGATTCGGATTGTACTGCAGCCATTTGGTTGAACACAAAAATTTAGCTCGACACAGTCCACATGTCATCTTTTGATGGACATTTTCAGAGCTGAAACGCAATCTTGCAAAAGTGCCGATTTAAAATGAGGCCCTAAATTATGTATTACTTACTAAAAAACCAAAAGTAGTATGCATATATGCAGAGATATCGGTTTATTTCGAAGATGTAAAGACCAAAAAAGCTTTAATAAAAAAATGCAAAATAAAGCACAATCAGCCGAACCTAACAGACCAAAGAAGAGAGGAGCCTTATTTTACCTTTTCATTTTGCATTTTCAGAAGATGGAAGACCAAGTTCGAGGACTCCGCGAAGAGCGAGACCAGCTACGACGCGAATTGGAGTGCTTCAGACGGTCCAGAGACAGAAGCCATTCTCCTCTGACAAGATCGCATTCTCTAACACGAGTCCAAGTGAGTCAATTCACATTTGGAGCCACCTTTTCAGCCAACTCTGCGGTAACCAGGGCGAGCGCAGCCCTCCCACACTCGAGGAGAGTTTATTTGTAGAACACATTTCTGACATGGCAGACCCAGCTTGGAGAGGCCTAAGCAAGCGGTTGTCCCAGAGTTGCTAGGGCCAGGTGTTGTGCTGACAAATTTGGCACGTAGTCCTTTTCAGCGACCGAATGTGAGGATTGTGACATGACTTTCCACTTGGAAAGTGAAGTTGGTTGTAAAAAATTGGTGATGTCGTCGCACCGGCAACCGAAGGGAGATCGCTGTGTAGGGAAGGCTGTCGTATTGTTTTTTTGTTTTTTTCGTAACTAAGTAGGTTTTCGAGATTGCCATTAAATCAGATGTATGAATTGTTTTCACCACATTTCGTTTAAGGTGACGAAGGAGTGGTAGTTGAATTTTCCCACAATTTTATGCAATTAATTTCATATACAGCCTTGCTTTGCAAAAAGCTGTTCTCATCCAGCCTGAAGTGGACGGCAGTTTCGACCTCGCATCGGTCTTGACAACACCCGAAGCGGGACTCGAACCGTGACAATGCAGCGTGGTTCGACTTATGCGAGGTTGAAATTGCAGTCCGATTCTGCCTGGATGAGAACATCTCTTGTGAAAACAAGGCTCTATGTGAAATTAACTGCAAAGGCTAGCTCCACTCATAGCATTGTGGGAAAATTTAACTACCAGTCATTCGTCACCTTAAACCAAATAGGGTGAAAACAATTCACACATCCGATTTGCTGGTAGTCTCGAAAACCTACACACTTACGATAAAAACAACAAAGCGGCGATCTCCATTCGGTCGCCGGTGAGACGACATCTCGAATTTTTTACAACCAACTTTTCCTTCCAAGTGGCAAGTCATGTCACAATATATCATTGGGGCATCATTCGAAACCCATGTTTTCAGCATATCCGCTACGATGATGCTTGAAAAGACGCGCATTTGTGGGTCCTTGGCTTGCGAGCTGGCGTCTCTACTGCCTGGGCGAGTAAAGGTGGTCAGGGACGTGTACCTCAAATTGGATTCACAGAAAGAGTATCGCGGGAGTCGGATTTCACTGTCACAGATCATCGCGCCTCGGCAGTTTGTTCACTATCCTCAAGGAATGTGAACTTCGCCAGAACTGGTTCAGCTGGTTTATGAATTGACAATTGAGTTTTCAGCAAGAAGTATTTGGCGCTAAGATTGATACCACCAGCAGATGGTTTATGCTATGTCGGTTATTCTAAAAGGTTTGCGGTTTTTCGCTACTTTGCATTCTTATTGGCTTCGGTAAAAAATCTGAGTCATTCGGAGAAGGGATCGCATCGTGAATTGCCAGAAATAGAGATCAATGCCACATTGAGTCAAGCATTTGATAAAATGCTAATGAAACCAGCCGACCTGATCACTTCAGACTGGAATGTGTTGCCAGCAAGGTCCATAAACTTCACTCGAACGTACACTCGAAGATAGGAAAACCGACATTTTATCAGATTCACTTTTAT